TCATTGATTAGAGTGACTGCAACTGATCAGGAGCTGAAAGAGGACAGAAAAATTTAGGAAAAGGGCCCTTTCCCTCAGAGCTTGAAGGCTTCTCTGTAGCCTACGCCAACAAGTCTGGGGAAAAAAGGCTAACACTTTCAGTATTTAAGCTTTTTGGGCACTTCCCATGGGAAGCTGTCCCTACCAAAGTGGCCATAGGCTGCAGTCCTCTGATAAATTGGCTTCTTCAGATCCAGATCCCTGGAATATACAAGTCCATAACTTAATATGTAGCATTAAATCAAAATAAAGCAAAACAACAGCAAGACTCATTGCAAGAGCTCTGGCAAAATGAGTTCAGTTCTCCCTGGGGTTTGCTAGGAAAAAAGTTCATGGCAAAAGTGTTGTTACTTCCCTGGTGTCCAAACTGCTTGCACAGTCCTTTATTAGTAACTACAGTTGTTTTCCAGCCCTGGCTTGACAAATATGAAAACTTAAAATCATTCTCAGGAATTCCAATTAAATACTTACCAAGGTCCAATCACTGCCCAACTATGGTTATTTTCTTTGTAACTTTGAACATCCCACCTTAACATATTAATCTTTAATGTAGCACCCTTAGTTAATGTAAGCACAAAGCTTAGTATTGAAGATGGAGAACTTTTTAGAATGTTACTGAGTCGCAGAACACTAACTTCATCAGCTAGGTCCTCTCCAGGCAATTTAAAATATTTTTAAAACAGGCATGTTTTAAGAATTAAAATTTGTTCCCCTATATGAAGAGTCCACCTTCATCTCCAGATTTCAGTATACATGCCCACCCACCATTTCTCACTAGCAATAGGCTTTACCATCTTTACCTGACAATGACCCCAGGGCGAAGATCAAAATTCTTCTTTACAATTTCTAATAGCTCTCTCTCACTCTTCTGGGAAGTACCATAATGGAAAATGGAGATCGACAATGGATGAGAAACTCCGATAGCATAAGAGACCTAAAAGCCAGTAATATATTGTTATAAAATAGGGATGCATATAAACTTTTACTTAATACTCTTTTCCCATTTACCTGTTCATTACATACCTGAACAAGAACCCTCCTGCACAGACCTCCTTTAACAAGGGATTTTGCTACCCAACGAGCAGCATAAGCAGCTGAGCGGTCCACTTTGGTATAATCCTTTCCTGAAAAGGCCCCTCCTCCATGAGCTCCCCAACCGCCATAAGTATCCACAATGATTTTTCGGCCAGTCAAACCAGCATCACCCTGAAATTATAGGGTTTAAGTCATGTAATCTTTTCTAGTAAGTGGTTCTTGACTAGGCTATTAGGAATCATTCAAGATCCTTATGTAGCTAGCAGTAGCCACATGTATAAACCTAACGCTTTAAGATTAGCTGTATATAGTGATATAACATCAGGTACATAGTGAATTTGGGGGTAGCATGGGCCATGCAAGACACAGTGTATGTGGGATATATATGACTGGGGGAGGGGTCAGTCAGAAAAAAGATGGGGGCAGCTAAAATTTCCAAGTAACCAACAATAGTCAAAACATTTCATAATTTATTACCTGAGGCCCACCAATAACAAATCTGCCACTTGGCTGTAGGTGGTAAATTGTATCCTCATCAAGGTATTTTGCAGGTACAACAGCTTTGATCACTTTCTCCTTTAGAGCATCTCTCATCTCATCAAGACAAACTTCTTCATCATGTTGCACAGATATAACAATTGTATGGACTCTGATAGGAAGCACAGCACCTCGATCTTGCATATACTGCACAGTCACCTTGGATGCAAAATAGATCAGAACACTTGTCTAACCAGCTTTGTTCCCTATCATAAGATTAAATATGGCAAAAGACAAGTATTATCCCCCCTCAGTCAGCTATAATTAAGTAACTTAGGACTTTTAGTGTAATTTGAGATGAACATTAGTTTTAAACCACTACTTACTTGAGTTTTAGAATCTGGGCGCAACCAAGGCAATGTGCCATTGCGGCGCAGTTCAGCCAGTTTGGCGTTTAGCTTGTGTGCTAAGACAATGGTTAAAGGCATACACTCTTCAGTTTCATCAGTGGCATAACCAAACATCAAACCCTACGAAATAGGAAAAGTGAAATGTGAAAGAGAAATCCAAGTTTTAGAATCCAATGTTAAGAGATGCCAATAAACTATGACAATACCTGGTCTCCTGCACCAATGTCTTCCTCATTCCGGTCAAGATGAACACCTTGGGCAATATCTGGTGACTGTTGTTCCAAGGCCACCAACACATTACAAGTCTTGTAGTCAAACCCTGCAAACAACAAGGTGTTCCAATAACTCTCATGTTTTTTAGTGGTAACTCCAAAATGTTAGCAAGTTGTGTTGCTAGCAATTGGAATATGCTTAAAAGTGGCCAATCCAGGTGGTGGTGGTGGCACATGCACACCATTAATCCCAGCACTCGGGAGGCATAGGTAGGCAGATCTGAGTTCCAGGGCAGCCAGGGCTACAAAAAGAAAACCCTATCACAGAAAGAAAACAAACAAATGAAAAAACAGAACTAAAGGGTAAAGTTAAGAGGAGAAAAAAAATACCGATGGCAACAAGATCTACTGTACAATATTTTAATAGACCATATTCAACATGATTCACTTATTGCCCCCCTCTGCATTATGGTTTGAAAGAAGGTCTTTAACTTGGTTGGGCTAACTCCTGCTTGACCTCTGGCCACTCTACTGAGATAAGATATTGCTCTTGCACTAAATCACACACTTTAGAGGACAGAATAGGCTAGATCAGAAAGCTGAGAGGATATGGTAAAACTATGCAATCAGTTAAGATTACCAGGAACGTAAGAAGCTTCTCCCATTAGCATCATATTCTACATCTGCAAAAATGAGTTTATAAAAATTAAATATTTAAGGAATACCTTTGGATGAATCATCATATCCAATGTGCTTAATGGCTTCACGAACCACTTTCTGATAATCAACAGCAGCTCTGGATGTTATTTCCCCAGCAAGAAGGATCATTCCAGTTTTAGCAACAGTTTCTAATAAAACAGAAATTTATGCCCAAAATATTAGGGTAGGGGTGCCAGCTGGGGAATTCAATCCACGTTGAACATGCTATATCCCTGGGGTTCATTTTCTACTTCTGAGATAGTGTCTTGCTAAATTGCCAACATGGACATTAACTTGCTACCTCTAGCTCAACCTTCCAAGTAGCTAGGTGCATTACAAACCTACCATCAGACCAGACTTTCCTTCAAATGCCCCCTTTTCCATTCAAGCAAGTATTGTATACCCACCACAAGCCACTTTGGCATCAGGGTCCTGCTGAAGGTGTGCATCAAGAACAGCATCACTGATTTGATCACAGATCTTATCTGAAAAATAAAAATTCCCCATTCAATTTATCCATTACTATTATCTATCATGTAACCAGCAGTTGATGCTCAACCCAAGGGGCCAAGCACAGCTGTGAATTTTTAGATACAAAAATCTTTTTTTTTTTTTTTTGGTTTTTCGAGACAGGGTTTCTCTGTGGCTTTGGAGCCTGTCCTGGAACTAGCTCTGTAGACCAGGCTGGTCTCGAACTCACAGAGATCCGCCTGCCTCTGCTTCCCAAGTGCTGGGATTAAAGGCGTGCGCCACCACCGCCCGGCTGAATTATTTATTTATTATGTATACAATATTCTGTCTGTATGCCTGAAGGCCAGAAGAGGGCGCCAGACCTCTTTACAGATGGTTGTGAGCCACCATGTGGTTGCTGGGAATTGAACTCAGGACCTTTGGATACAAAAATCTTGTCATGCTGTCAAAAGATTATATATACCTAGCTGCAACAAAAAAACAAATAACACTAATGGTTTCCAATAGTGGAAACTATTGGATTCTAGCTATATTACTCAAACCCATGGCAGTCCTGACTCAGTCTCCAGAATGGTGGATTAAAGTATGCATCACCATTCTAGGCTTAAACAAATAAAAAAACAGCATTATTTGTGCATACATGGCTAATACTTGTATGATGGTGTTCATGTAAAGATCAGAAAACATTGAGAGGAGCTGGCTCTCCATTATGTATCCCAGGAACTCTGATCACAACAGCCTTGGCAGCAAGTGTTCTTAACCCATTGAGCAAATCTCACTGGCCCTACTCACAACTTTGAAGTGAACAATTCTACTCCATTGCTTTAATATGTTAATAAAAGCACTGCTTAGCCGGGCGGTGGTGGCGCACGCCTGTAATCCCAGCACTCGGGAGGCAGAGGCAGGCGGATCTCTGTGAGTTCGAGACCAGCCTGGTCTACAAGAGCTAGTTCCAGGACAGGCTCCAAAGCCACAGAGAAACCTTGTCTCGAAAAAACCAAAAAAAGAAAAAAAAAAAAAAAAAAAAGCACTGCTTTACCAAGACCTATTTGCCAGAATAAAAATTACTGTATACAGGGTCATATGCTTAAACTTTCAGCCCATTTAACATCCTAGTCGAGTCAAAGTAGAAATGGTGATCATCTTGAAATCCCAAAGCCAATCCCAGGAAATAACTTCATAGTGTATTTTAAAGATCAACTGTTCTATTTTATATTCCACTTAAAATAGGTTACAAAATTAACCCACTAAGAGCTAAATAAGCCAACTGTCAGGTTATTAAACCGTCCATTACCCCTATTAGAAGCACTCAGTTCCTCAAGTTTTAACTAGTACCAAACCTCTGTACTTGGGATGAATAAACCAAGGTCATATGTAGACCAAGCACTCTGACCTAAAAAAGAACGCTAACCATTTAGAGAAACAAGACTTTTCTTTGTATTTAACCATGAAAATAAATTTTAACTATGAACAGCAAGAGGAAAATGATCCAGGAAACTATCCAAATGCATTATCAATTTGGAAAACACAGTATCCTGGATTGGAATCTGTGTGGTGTTGACAAAGTGTTCCATGTAGACTAGGCTAACCTCAAACCCAATCTCCTGCCTCTACAGTCTAAACGCTGGGGTTACAAAAGTGTGCCATCAAGCTTGGCTCCAATCTCCTGAATTTTGTTACTACTTTCTCCCAAAAAGTGTATTCCAATCATAGCACCTAAGACCTTATCTAGCAACTGTAATAAAGAGCGACCCAATCGATGTGGAGAGGCACCCCTTTCCTTGAGGGAAAACCCACCACAGCAACACTTAGATTTCATTTGTCACTCAAGGTCCTATTGGGTTTGTTCACTATCATTAATTAGGCCACTAACTAAAAGCAGATCCTTCCATCAAGGATGTTGCTGTGGACTCCTTTAACAGAAGAGCTCAAATGACATCCCAAAGTTCCCGAAAATAGCTTCATTCTAACTCACCTCAACATGGCCGTCCAGTGGACAAAGCCAAAGGAAACGTGACATTTTTTTTTTCAAGACAGGGTTTCTCTATAGCTTTGGAGCCTGTCCTGGAACTAGCTCTTGTAGACCAGGCTGGCCTCGAACTCAGAGATCGGCCTGCGCCACCACCGCCCGGCAATAAATCCTCTTTTAATCGTTGGAAAGCGCCAAAGGTAAGACTTTAAAAGGAAACCTAATGCCATGGGGGTTTGCACTTAATTCATGCTCCTCGTCCTTTTCACACAGCCTCCAAATAAGGGATGTCCTCTCTAACTCGCGCTATATTTAGTCGGCGGCTGCCTGTCACCTTGGAGGCCTAAGGACATGCCCAACCACACTCGTGCGCATTTTCAGTGACCGGAAGTCGTGGATAATGGAGATAGCATGTTTGGAGACACCAGCCCCCACTTCTAACCCAGGGGCTCGGGCAGGGAGCGGCCGACAGCTCCGCTTCGCCCCGATGCCACATGCGGTGAACACGTGGTTGCCGCTGCAATGCGGGGCGCGCGCTCCCGACGGCCGGACGCGAGCACGCGGGGCGGGGTCGCCCACTTGAGATTTTTCCAGACGACGGGACTAAAGAGGAGGAAACAGGGCCCTCCCCGCGCCGGTCGCTGGCCCCCGCCCTTCTCATTTTCTGGAACCTTCCGCGTGCCGGGGCGCGCCGCCGGATGGGGATGAGAGAAAGGGGGGAGGGGAGCGGCGGCCGCACACTGCAACCTCCGGGAACCACACGAGGGCGGCGCGCGGCCGCCGCTGTTCTCACCGAGCCGGACGGCCTCGACCCCCAGCGCCACCGCCCCGTCCTTCTCCCGAGTCCCCCGTCCGCTCACCTGGGTGACCTTCCCCCACAGACTCCGAGGTGAAGAGGAACGTCCCCTCCTCAATGAACGCCTCGTGGAAGCCGTTGAGCTGACCGTTCATGGCGGCGGTGGTGAGAGGACACGACTCGGAGGACACGGAGCGGCGGCGAGGCAGGGAGCTGCTAAGCGCGCAGAGCAAGGTTTGCTTCTGCTCGGGGCGGGATGGCGACTCGGAGCGAACGGAGCGGCCCCGTATTTATAGAGCAGCGCCCGCGCGCGCCCGGCCCAGGCCCCGCCCCTCGGCGTCGCGCGCCAATGCGCCACCGGCGGGCGGAGGGGAGGGGGGGGGTTGGCGGGTTGGGGCTCCCCGCTGGGCGCGGGCGAGGCCATTCTGCCTACGGGGGGAGAGCGGAGTCAACGGCGCCTCCTGCCAGGAGTTCGTCATCTTAGCGGCGTGAGGTAAATGGGGATGTGAGTCCCTGAGCAGGCCGGGCTTTTAGTCCCTCCCGGCTTGCACGCCGGAGGAAAGACGGTCTCCCCTCTGCGGGGACATGGTACATCCCTTCCGACCGTTGCCCGCGGAGGTAGGCAGGTGCGCGCGCCCCCCAGCGGCGGCTGCGGGGATGGCGGCCGTTTAGTGCTGTGACTCTAGCGGAGGGTCTCTCACGCCACCCGCGCCGTTCCCCACCTCGTGCACGGGCGCCGCGTGGCTCTCCGCCATGTGAAGGTGGCCATGTTGGCTGGCCTGGGAGGCGGCTGTGCACGGCCCTTCATCATCCTACGCGGTTCCTTGCGGGGGACGAGAGATTCCAAGGGGCTCCGGCCCAGCTGTTAGTCATTTCTCGAATAACTTACTGCTCTGGTGAAATGGCTATAAAGCCGACTAACGGGAATGCTGTATTGTTTTTTAAACAATTGCCACTTGCCAGCCTCCCCTCCCCCCTCGTCTTGCTTCGTGGACCCTCGGAGTCTAGAGCCTCTTGTGTCCTAAGTCTGACCTTGCTTGGCTTGGTTTTCCATGCTTCTGAGGGAAAAATGAATGTTGAATCAATCTTTTTCGGGAGAATATGGAAGGAGAGAGAGAGAGAGAGAGAGAGAGAGAGAGAGAGTGTGTGTGTGTGTGTGTGTGTGTTGGGGAGGGCGCCATCCAAGCCTTCAAATATGCTTTCGGTCTCGTGTGTGTGTGTGTGTGTGTGTGTGTGTGTTGGGGAGGGCGCCATCCAAGCCTTCAAATATGCTTTCGGTCTCGTGTGTGTGTGTGTGTGTGTGTGTGTGTGTGTGTGTGTGTGTGTTGGGGAGGGCGCCATCCAAGCCTTCAAATATGCTTTCGGTCTCTTGTCAAGGTCAAATGGCCTCGATTTCAGAACACTTTCCCTTTCAAACCTTTGCAGTTGTCTCAGTTTTTCCCATGAAAGGAATTAAAAGGAAACAGTGAAATAAAACATACGCCAACAAAGAGTGGAGTCGGGAGCTGACTGCAGGCAGAGAGCCACTGTGAGACCAGTGTCACACTCTGCTGGACCAGCCTTAGGGCAAGCCTGGAGCTGTAATGGTGATTGTGAGATCTATCGTTTGTGAAGAACACGGCTTTTTAGAATGTTAGGGAACAGCCTGCTCCTATCATAAGGATGCTCTTGATACTGTGAAGCTGAACAATAGCCTCCAGCTGCTGGTGGCTCAGAAAATTAGGTACATTGTGAATAGCAAGGAGCCTTTCCTTGTAGGGTGTGTGCCAGTGGAAAGGTGGGAGTTTGAGAAAGGCACCGTGGGAAACAAAGGAAGCTCTTGGGCTGTGCTGGGAGCCTCAACAAAGAAGCTAGGGAAACAGGCTCATGTCCACGTCCAGGAGACAAGTCACAAAAGAGACAATAGTTGCTTCTTATTTGTTGTTTTATTTTTCAAACTAGCTTCTCATGGGAAAGCAGTCAAGACTTTCATAATTTTTACTTGCTTTAGGGACTAAAGAGAGGGTTCAGCCATGAAGAATAACTCACCTCACAATGAGTAATAAAATTGCCAGCTAGTCCAACATGCCTAGGTAGACTGGTCAGTGCATTATCTTCTGGCAGAAATAATCTATATGGAAGCCAGAAGATAATTAAAAAGTTCATTAATAGGGAGGCAGGGGAAGGGAATTGCATTCAGAGATTAGCTCATTGCATTCTGATCCTCCTTTGTGCCCGGCTCTACACCTGGCTCATCCTGCCAAGAGGATTAGACTCAGTTGTACACTATTAACTCTGTCTTGCTCATAGGTCAACATAGGGGCCTTCCAGCTATGGCTTTGGTCATGCTTACAGAATAAGCAACCTCTACACCTCGTCTTTAGCCTGGAAAGTTGGGTTAACAGTAGGAAATTTTTAGCACAGTGTCTAACATATAACAAGAATTTTTGTTTTTTGAAACAGGGTTTCTCTTTATAACTGCCCTGGAACTTTGTAGACCAGGCTAGCCTTGAACTCACAGAGATCTGCCTGCTCACCCTCCCAAGTGCTGGGATTAAAAGTGTGTGCCACCACTGCCCGGCCTCTAACAGGTACTGCAAAAGCAGTGAATGATCTTTTACAGGTATCTACTTGTTGGTGGGACAAAAGCTGAAATTCTCTACATAATCTGTTTTGTTTTTTGAGACAGGGTCTCACTCTGCAGCCTGTGTTGGCCTGGAACTCACTGTGTAGCCCAGACTGGCCTAGAATTCATGACAAGCCTGCCCTGCCTCAACCTCTCGAGAGAGAAAACTTCAGGTGTGTTCCACCATGCTTGGCTAACGCCGAGCATACTCTCTTTAAAGATGGAGTGGGATGCTGCCTCTACTACTTCAAACCTCATCCTGTACAGTGTTCCTCTCCATCATCTCCTGTGAATCTCTTTTGCTAACAGTTCAAGTCGTCAACTGATGCATCAGAACAAGGACATATTTTCATCTTATGTTATTCACGTTGTCCGTTCTTTTCTTCTGTTAAGATTGGCACGTACTGACATGGAGACAGTCCTAGTTCTCTTCCTACTCCAGACTCTTAAAAATGGTGGTGCCTGGCACCCCCTTTCGGTGCCTCCCAGCTCAGCTTCTACTTCCTAGATGAAGCCTTCATTCACCTCCAAAGATTTCTCACAGGGTTCAATCTTTACTCGTGCTGCTAAGTGCTCTTTGAAATTGCAGACTTGATGATTAGTTGACGGATGGCTCCAATTCCAGTTTGGTGCATAACCTCCATGGTAATAAGGTGGTCTGTTTGCTGAAGCCTTGCTCTGAATGCAGCTCACAGGATGCTGGAGAGTGTCTAAAGGGGGAAAGGAACACCAAGTAGGGACATGAACCTTGGAGACCCAACCAGACTGATGGAAAGGGATCCTGCCTTGGCTTTGGGACCAGCTTTACAATTAATAAAATGGAGAGCCCTTAGCTAACAGAGAGGCACATGGCCATCCTGTTCCGGAGGGAGGATGAGATTTCTAATTTCATAATTAGTGCCCTGAGGGCAAAATAAAGCAGAAGTTATTGGTTTAAGTCATATTTAGCACTAATGAGATGTGTTGAATTTGAATTGTTATAAAGCACAGAGGGAAAATTTGAATCACTGCCCGAAGGCTCCATATTTCTCAACCCAGAGAATCTTAATGTATCAGGGAGACTGATGGACGCTTTCAAAGACAGGGCTGGAAACTGGTGTTTGTTACCCATTCGGCAAATAGAACAACCCAGGTCTTATGAGTCACATCAGAGCTTCTGGGAGAGAGTTCTGGAAAGTGAGAGAAGACATTTACCTGACACATGTATGTGTCGAGCTGGGCACTGTAATCCCAGCACTCCAGGGCTGAAGCAAGAAGATTGCTTCAGGTTCAAGGCTAACCAGTGCTACAGAACAAGATACTGTCCAGATTAGGGTTCTATAGAGAAAAGAACTGATAGAATGAATATACATGATAAGTATTGGATCCCTGGTTGCTGGGTTCCTCCACCAATGCAATAAGCCAAATCAAACCAAATTAATAAATAGGGCAGTGCAAAGCAGAGCACTCCTGGGTGGCTAGCAGGAAGGCTGATCAGGTCTTAGATAGCTGATAGGTGTGGTCCCAGGCAGCTGGGGAGTTGGAGTTGCTGCTGGTGGGCTTTCTCAGGGGTGGAGTCTGGAATGAGTCAGCTCTAGGGAGCTGTTGTGTGGTGTGCTGAGAGCAGGGGTCTGGAACACCCCCACCCACACGAAATTTATAAGTGGCTTACAGGCTGTGGTCCAATGATTGCAGCCATGGCTGTCTGCTGAGGGAAAGTCCAAGAATCCAGTAGTTGTTTGGTCCATGAGGCTGGATGTCTCAGCTGGAGTTCAGTATGTGTCGGAATCCCAAAGAAGTAGTCTCTAAAGCCAGCGGAAGGGATGAACTAGTGAGGGCAAGCAGGCGAGGAGCAAGAGCTTACTTCGTCTGTGTTCCCTTATATGGGCTGCCACCAGAAGATGTGGCCCTGCAGTCAAGTAGCAAGAGCTTCCTTTTTCCATGTGCTGCCACTAGAAGGGGTGACCCAGATTTAAGCTAGATCTTCCCACCTCAAATGATTGAATTGAGAAGAAAATCCCTCACAGGTGTACCTAGCATCTTGGGGTTTAGTTCATTTCAGATGTAGTCGAATTGACAATCAAGGATAGCCATCACACTGGCTCCCCAAAAGGAAAACAAAAAAGCTTGTCATGCAGCACACACTTGTCATTCCAGCACTTGGGATGAAGGTAGACAGGACGGTTGAGAGTTCCAGGCCAGCCTTCAGCCATAGTGAGCTTAAGATGATCCTGGGCTGCAAGAGACTCTGTTTCAAACAAACAAACCAACCCAGCCATGGCTGCTGACTGAGCACAGGGGAACAGGGTGCAAGAACAACAGTGAGTATGTGGGGATCACCAGGTGACAGACTGGGCAACTGAAGCTGAAATGCCAGAAAGCCTGAGGCTGCAAGCCTTCTGTGTAAGGACCTGCCAGGGAGAAAGGAATCTATACCAGATGTCTCCAGAAGGGTGCCTGTCTTTTAGTCAGGTACCTTCAGAAAAAAGCTAGCTCTAACAGGATCAGAAACAGGGATATAAATTCCCCCATTTATAAAAATTTTAAGTGTGTGTTTATGTGTGTACATTAGTGGGTGTGTGTATGAGGTCAGAGGTCAACTTTTGGGAGTTTGGGCTCTACCAGGGATCTGATGCAGATCGTAAGACTT